GAAGGGCAACAATTACTCTTAACCTCTGAGACATGTCCTCAGTTCCTAATGACTCTTTCTGTACAGTCTTACACAACCCATACCTCACCCTTCTCTCTTCCGGTGGTGAGTTATGTCATTTGTTTACTATACTCTGTGTGTTTGAGTCATGCACCCAAGTGCTATAGTCAGTGAGGACAGAAAAGTCACATTTTCCCTTACAGATTCTCCACAAATAACAATATTTAGAAATTTTGACAGAAAACAATAACAATCTAGTATGTTATAAGGGACCGTACTAAGTCTTTTGGGTTTAGTTGGCTAAGAACGTTTTCTTGGATGAATCAGTCTCTTAAAAACTTTTGAAACGCCAAGGATATGCTGGAGTCAGTTCTGATTAGAAAACGCCCTTCATTTATTTTAAAGACAGCAACAAACAGGAAGAAAGGAGGGAAACTTCGCTTTTTCTTATACTGAAATATTTGAGCTCATTTGGCATTCTCTCTTTCCGCAGATGTCCTAACACAAGTGTCCGAAGGCCACCGGGCTGTGTTACTGAGACCATGTAGGTCTCCTTAGCAATTGATGACATGAAGACATTTTCTCCGTAGAGTGCCTTTCTCGTGTTTACATTTTTGCTTTTGCGTGTTTTGTTTTTACTTTGTAGAAAGGAGGCTATGAGTCAGCCTGGGAAAATAAATATTTGCAATAAAAATTGAATGGGGATTCTTAAATATTATGAGAGCTCCAGCTCAGGGGCCTCCAGGCCCCATGACTGAAGTACATGATGACTTTAATAACAGGGATTTAACTTCTACTTTCATGGTACCAGAAGGAGACATGTACGCTTCCAAAGATCCTGTCTGGCTATCAGTGTTTGAACCACAGTGACGGTCGCTGCATGGCACAATAACCTCTAAAAGCGTACAGGCATTGACAGTCACTGTCTTAGTTAGAGTGTTATGGCTGTGGAGAGACACCATGACCAAGGCAATTCATGTACATAAAACGTTTAATTGGGGCTGACTCATCGTCTTCAAGTTTCCAAGGTTAGTACATTATCATCATGGTGGGAAGCATGGCATCATCCAGGCAGACTTGGTGCTGGAGAAGGAGCTGAGGGTTCTACATCTACATCTTGATCTGAAGGCAGATCAAGAAAGACTCTGTCATGTTGGCCAGACTTGACATATGCATGAGGGAGACCTCAATGCCCCACCTCCCTCCTCAGTGACATACTTCTTCTAACAAGGCCATATCTCCTTCTACAAGGCCACGCCCCTTCATAGTGCCACTTCCCCATTCATATGCGGTGGCATAATCAAAACACCAAAGCAAGCAACAGCTCTCTCATTGTACTTAAGACAAGCTCACCCAGAGGGAAATCATGCCTAGTAATGGAAACCTAGCCAACTATTTAGAATTATTGAAGTTGTGGATCTTTTTTGAATTATTGAAGTTGTAGGGAAACCTACAACCCCTACTACTAAACCCCCATAATTCCTAACTATATTCTAAATATTTGTCCTTATACTCACAGATAAGTGTAGTCTCCATCTAGCATCAAAACAAAATAAAACAGACGAGAGAAACACAAAAACAGGCAAGCAAACAAAAACCTTTTCTATGCAACAGATATAGACCACTACAGAAAAACACAATCAATCAAAATGTAGAGATGTGGAGCGAATTCCCAAAGGGTACATCCAAAATATGAACCCCACAACAAAGGCTCAGGGATCATTGCAGAAGAGGCAGGTAGGAAGGCTGTAAGATGTAGAGAAATGAGGCATTTACTGTGATACTGTGTAGCCTGGGGCTATCAGAGGCTTACACTTGTAACATCGCACCAACATGACTGCCTAAACATGAGTTGAACAAGAACCATACATGGATGGGCGAAGCCGAGGAAGCCTCATTCTTACACAAAGAACTAAAGAACTAAAAGCAACTAAGGATGCTGAGAGTGGGGCAAACAGGCTCTGGCCTCTGGCCCACAACAGAGCACCCCAAATGACTATCCAATACCAAATGGTCATCCCTGAAAACTTCACACAGAAGGAATATTTTATTACAGCTATAAACCCATCTGTGAATGTATCACGAGAATGAATATTACATTTATATATGCACGTATATGAATGCATATATCTATATACGTAAATGCATTTTCCTAGGGATCAGGGAAGAATTTATTGCATGAAATACTTATTTTAAATAATTTTTCAAAAAACATTATTTTTCCATAATGAGAATTGAAGTTTGAAGATGTAACATCTTTTAATTTGAAAGACAATAATTAGGTTCTTTTCTACGTAAGAATTCATAGTGAGCAACCCATCACTCCTGAGCAGAATAATAGATATAAAACAACGTCCCTTGCAGTATATTCAATCTGAACTACTGAATCCCAAATTGTTTATTATGCAAATTTTATTTGCTGACTAAACTAAAGTTAACTGGATACCAGTTAAACACAAGTCTCTGTTTTGTAAAAGAGAAGTTTGTATAATCTTTCCCTATGATAAGAAATTGTCTCATGGGAGGAGATCAGGGAGGGAGTGTGGGGTTGGGGAGGGAATGAGGGAGCGGGATACAGCTGGGACACAGAGTTAACAAAATGTAACTAAAAAGAAAAAAATAAAATAAAAAAAAAGAAATTGTCTCATCAAATCCATTAAATATTAATGGGTCTTAAATTTACTACATGTTAATTTTTGCATTATGTGCTCTGGTAAGTATTGAGCTGGTGGTATGATGAGAAAGAGCAGTATTCTGAAATGACTCAGTCTGTGGTTTGAATGATCAGGTTATAGCCAATGTCATGTTCATATTAACATGTGCAATCCCATTTCCATCTGGACTTTTCTAGACGTTACACACCCTGATCATTTGACACCTTGTTTTCTCAAATTTATAGGAACTAGCTAAGACTCAAGGATCTTGCCTCATTCATTCTTCATTGAAGAAACATGGAGCTGAGACATAGCTTAGCAGTTAAGAGAACTGGCTGTTCTTCCCAAGGACCCGGGGTTGATTCCCTGGGTCACAGAAGTCACAGAGACCTTCTTTTGGCCTCTGCCAACACTGCACAAAAGTAATGTACAGACATACAGGAAGGAAGAGACTCATGAAAGTAAAATCAAAATAAATAATAAAATCTCTAAAGATTGAAGAAACGTGTGAAATTCGAGGAAGAAAGTGTGTGTTAGGAAAGGACTGCTCCTCCAAATCAGGGGTAGGGATTATATCTGTAGGCTTACAGCAGCAGCCAGCAATGCACAGACCAGCACCAACAGGAAATGAGTAGTTAGGTACTCTTTTCAGTAATGGAGAGTTCTTTGGTCAATAGCTCGGTAGTGGGACAGTTACCACTATGTAGTCCATTAGGGATAAATACAAGCCACTTTCGTGAAAATGGCTACTCAGGGTGTAACTACTGAGGCGGCTGCTTTTGCTAGACTATGGAAGTATTGCACAGAGATGGCTCTGTGGTTGAAAGAACTCTTTTCTCTTGCTGAGAACCTGGGTTTGGCTCCCAGTAACCACATGGTTGCTCAGAACTATCTGTAACTCTAGTTCCAGAAGGATCTAAAGCCCTCTTCTGCAAATGCCAGGCACACATGCCATATGCACAAACACACACACACACATACACAGAGAGAGAGAGAGAGAGAGAAGAGAGAGAATGGGGGAGCAGAGGGAGGCAAGACTAATGCTCATAAAATAGAAAACAAATAAATATGAAAAAAATTATTACTGTGTTTATTAAGGCACCTTGGTTTTGAGCAAAATTTTTCTAAATCTGGAGAAAGCACAGACATGACTGATCCCAAAGGCTTCCACTGACCCTGGGCTGCAGGTGTGGACACTGTGCGATCTCTAGGCCGATTTTTCAGAGCTGCAGGAAGTAGAGGATCTGGTCAGAGGCTCTGCTGATGTGGAGAAGGAAATATGCCCACACAAACAACTAGAATGAGATGCTGCTGTCTCCTGGTATAACTGGGTATCAAATTAGCTCTTAAATACTCTCTTGAAAGATTTCTATCACTAGTTAAGTAATATGTCCAATCCATTAATTGATATTTAATTTTAAAATATGATAACTGATATCAAGGCTCGTGACATGATTTCCAAAAAGGTATTTTAGCATTTTCAAGCTCAAAGTTTTGCATGAGGTCATAGATACCAAAAACCCAAGCTCCAAATCCTGAAAAACGATTTAACAATGAATCTCAGAACCCACAGGAGCCTCAGGGGAACACATGCATACATTCCCTCCTGCTACCCATGGCATGACTCTTAGGGCTTTAGTTTCTTTCATTTGTCCAGCCACAGTGTGCGATCAAAGGTATGATACATAGACCCTATTTTTGGCATGTGTTTCAGACCCAACCTTCTTCTGGACTTATAATTAGATGCTTCTTTTTGCCTGTAGCCAGACTCTTAAATTTCATACACAAACACGGCTGTAGGACAAAGGAGATGTTGGCCAGAGAGCCCACCCAGAGGTACATAATAAATGGTCATGCACCTAACATACATAGATTCAAGCAAGGCTTGCCTTGGTACCCTCGACTCCCATGAGCCATTTGTGTGGGAAGTCAGAAGAAAACACTGAAGCAAAACAACCAGTGAGGAAAAGATACTTGTTGGAGCCAAATGAGGAAGCCAAGCATCATAAATTTCCTTGCGGCCAAGCTCGGAGAAGGTAAAAGTCTGAAGAACACCGCTGAAAAAATGTCGTAGGGATTTTTTTCTTTCCAAGGGGGATCCATGCACCTGTTGATGTATTTTCCAGGCCCTTGAATGATAACAATTTATGAGGCCATTAATACTAAGCCCAAGATTTATCAGATGTGCTGTCTGTCTTGTGGCCAACATAACCTCATAAAATCTGGGTTGCATCGGGTTAAAACGAAGCATTCTGCTATTGGAGTTATTCGGAGCATTTAAATCGGCTAATCCTGCAAGAACGACACATTTCTCCTGCCTATTAAAGGTTCTCGAGTGATTCCTACCAGTGGCAGAGGCACGCTGGCTAGGACAGTCTGCTGCTGGGTGAGGTAGCGTGGAGGCCGCAGGGGAAGAATGGGTCCTGGACAGGAGTCCATGCTTCTCCAATCCGTCGATGCCAACCGCAGCCAGCCGAGCCTGGTGCGCCGAGAGTGCACATGTGTGTGATGGTTCCAGCAAGGGTGGCTGCCAAGGAAAGGGCAGAAAAGGAAGAAATGTGAGCCCAGCATTGAGGAAGACATTGAGAGCAACACGTCAACAAATGAAGTTCAAAGACACAAACAGTGTGAGGGGGAAAGGAACAGAAAAAAAAAAGGAGGGCAGAGAGGAAAAAAATCAAGATCTTACTAACATCAATAAATCCACCCAACAGGCGTTTGCACGTTGACAGCCATCCCTGCTGCCTAGCGAGGAAGGAAAGGAAGGCAGGAGGAACTGGCTCAAACTGCCAGTTTGAACTGATTGAAGGAAACAGATCTTTAACCCCAGGAACAGTCCTAGAAGGCAACTCACATAAAACGAAGAGCCATCCAGGTGCTCCTAAACTGCTTAGGAAGCTTGGTTCTGAACACTCCCTGCATTTCCATCACTGGTACTGTGAGTGAAATTTATGAGCACTTCTGAAATTGCCAGTTAGCTGAGTATGTTTTGACACCTTTCAGTTTTCACATCACGGTGTAGGGCGACAGTGTTTTGTCATCGTTGGAAGAGGAGAATATCAATACTATAAAATCACAAGTAGTGTCATACTCTTGGTTGTATCTTCAGTGATTTAACATCTTTTTTTTTTTTTTTGCTTTTAACAAGTTATTCAGTCAGAAGACCAACTTTTAGAAGCTTCTGGTTGTTTTATTAGTTTATTCTTTCGTGTCCAAGAAGGACAATCAGCAAAACATAGTCTGGCAGCTAATTTACTTATCAAAAGTGCAGTGACCACTTCATCTTCTCAGTGGCAGGAAATTCATGTTTCCTGCTATTTTTAAATGCATCTTTCCATGGAGACAGAGAAAATAAATGAAGGTGGAATAAATCTTGATTTCACTACTATTCACCATGTTTAACAAAGTGTAGCCAAAGTATAATGAAGTTCTTAAAAAAACAAGCTTAAATTGTATATATTGAAAATGTGCACACTCTTCTGCTTTGACTTCTTGTTTCAGGACAAGATACTAATACCATCTTCTTTCAGCGAAGGGCTGCCTTCACCTTCCTACAGTTCTAGGAGTTTCCTAGCACCAGCACAAGCCATTATGTCATGTGCATCTTGAATTTCCAGAATGTGATAAGATTACACATTCTGGAAACAGTGTGTAATTTTCTCTAATTGTGACTTTGTATAGAGACTGAATTAATGTTACTTACAAATATCAGAGTGGTAATTGTTAACTGTTTACAGTTACAAATGTGTGCAAATATTTTTTGATTTAGAAAAATTTACATACATACTCTTAACTTTAAGGGGTTGTTATGAGGCCTGAGGGTGGGGCACGGTTGAAAGAGTCCTTGCTCACTGTGCTCGAAGCTCTAGGTTCAATTTTCAGAATACACAAGTGAGGTACGGTGGTTCCAGACCCAGAAACTAAAAGCAGGACAGTCTCTGGAGTTCAAGGTCATCCTTGGCTACAGAGCAATTTTATGGCCAGCTTCAAAAAGATCTAGTTTCAAAAAAATCTATATATTCCTACATTCTGTCTTTCACTAGGATGGCTTTGACTAGTTATAGAGTTCTTACTATAATAGTAATATAATAGCACGTTTACTATTTACAAGTTTACTATTTACAAGTTTACACGAGTTTAACTCTCCTGTTTTCTTTAATGTCACTATGTTTAATGGCCCAAGGGTACAGCTATGAGTGCATAGAGTATCCTTTAATAAGAACTTAACATTCTGTTAAGGACCAAGACATAATTCTGACTTTGAGTTCAAAAAGGAATCTGAAATGTCTGAGGAAATATTGACCTGAATATTTCATGGGCACTCTAGTTTATCTCTGTCTCTTCTTCCAAAAAAAATATTAAAGTTGAATTTTGTACTTCTACCACATTCATTATATGCTCATTAGTATTATACTCACCTTTTAATACTGATTAAGATGTCAAATGTGAAGGTGTTTTGTGGATTCCTAAAAGTTTCATCAGTTCTGGCACTAAGCTCATTGTGTCTACTGAATTTCTTGCTTCTGATAGTTCATGTTTCTGCCTTTCTGTAACACATCTTTATATGGGATTGCGAGACTCCATGCTATTCCTTAACACACTTCAAGCTTTATAGAGAACATTTTGAACAGTCCCATTAAATGCTATTTCTCTTTCTGTTAAAGTATCATGTTTGGATTTTCTCTTTCCTGACAGCTTTTTATATATTCAAGCTAACAGCATACAATCACTATTTCTTCAGTTGTGATTGATGCGTAGCATTGTTAAGGTACATATCATAATTATAAATGTAATGAGTACTATATGAGGAAAAGTCAAGGTGCTTTGAAACTTTTCTGAATATAAAGGAATAGATGAAACTGATAAAGAAGGTTCCAAGAACTTTCATCTTAAGAAAGCAACATTCAAGTCAAAATGTGAAGGGTAATTGAAGAAAACTTTGAAAATGGACACTAGATACAACACTTCTGACACACTTTCTGTTACATTTTATCCCATGGCTTTTCTAAAAGCTAAAATGTTTTTGCCCACACTGGAAGTCAGATGCCATGCTTTTCTCTCAATAACACAGTGGTGTTTCAGACAGTGGGGAAACAACTACTGTAAGGACTCTCTTCAAACAGAACCACCTATCATCTTTCATTTGAGCACAGTGCAGTTTGTGCTTTCCGTGGACTACAGCGAAACCCTAAATACAACTTTAAAGACTGATAATCTGCTAATTTATAATTATGATGTAAGTGGAATGTCTTAATACGAAATTTTCCAACCCAACCAATAATAGCCAGCTTATCCAATGCCCATCATTATGGAAATGCAGTGTAGCTAAGAGGCAAATTGCTTGCTTTATAACAGTTATTTATCACACGTGCTCATCTAATGCCTGATGATGTACACAAAACCTCTGCTGTTCTGCTAGGGAGCAAAGTGAATTAACCATCACGCATGACATTGCAGAACAGCACACACATTTCAGCATCTTGTCTCTAGGAAGTTCCATGAAGATATGAACTTTTCCTATTACTAATTCCCCAGCAACATTTCAACACACAGTAGATATGAATATGTTGACTAATCAAATTAATAAAGAGATGTACAAAGCTATCTTTAAAATCTCCCATTAACAACTGTGTAAATCAAAAAGGAATGTAATATTACAAATATAATACCGCATAGGGATATCTGAAAAATTTATGAGAAGTGGAGTCCAGGTCAAATAGTCTCCGAAGATAATAATACCATGAAATTGGTTTTGGGGGAGAGAGATATGTCTGAGTTAATTCAGGATTATTTTTAACTGATTCTTTTATGTGTTTTTCAAATTTTCTGCCTATCACATCTACTAAATTTTTAATTAATAGAAATGCTTGGTGTTTGTTCTTTCATGTATTTAAGTAGGGCAGATGTATCATCCTTGGACCAACAAGGAAACACGGTCAATTACATTCAAACTTGTCACAAATAGGACTTTAAAAAGACAAAAGGTGGTTTCCTTTAAGAAATCACTGACTGACATCAAGCACCTTTACAATGAATCGTGACTTTTAATGGATAGAAAAGGCTGTGACTATCTAGGAAACAACCAAATAGAACAGTATTGTCCACTGAGAAAAAGCTCACTTCTGTGGGTAGAAAAATCATACTGAAATTTTTCCTGATGGCAAGTCTTTCATGAACATTTTAAAATTTGAAATTAATGAAAGAACATTTTGTCATTTTATGTTGCAGTTCTGAGTATAAAAGGATATATTTCTTTCCTTTATTGTCAGAAAATTAAATGTCAAACTGTTCAGATTCTACAAATTTTTTGAACTGTACATTTAGCCAAACTGGCATTTATTAGCTCTTGTAGGAAATGTGCCATTCTCCTAAAGTACCGTAAACACGTCCCCTTAAAAGTACTTTTGAGGGAAAAAACAAAACCCTTAAAAATATATTCAGGCTATGTAATTAGGGATAGCCTGATAAAATTAGATATAATTAGATATGTAAGACAGTTTTCCTCTGCAGAGCGTAGGGTATGTAGGACCGTCACCTACCCCTCCCACTGACTGACGCTCTCAGATGACTTTCAGGGGCGTTACCATGTATCCATTTCATAAAGTCCTCCATCTTGCCTCGTGAACACTAGTGCCTGGGGCCTCACCTTGCTGGCAGGCACTGCCTGCTAATGGATGGGTAGAGCAGGAAGACTTCAGGACTCCGTTTCTGTGACTGTGCATTCCATTGTGCTGTTCTGATTTCAGTGCTTGCTGCTACTTCTATGAATGCTGTTTTATGGCCTCCAGATTTTCACTTTCATCTCAATAGTTGCATTTTTTTTTTTTTATGAAATGGGTGTTCACTCACGGGCTGTTATCAGTGTTATAGGTTTAGCTACAGCAAAGAATAAAATTTTTAATGTTTGACCTTTGAAACAATCAGAGTTATTTGAATTGGTTTCATAAAAGATAAAACTTAAAAGGAAAAGCAATAACAAAAGAGAAGAGATCCAGGGAATAATAATTAGAATAAAACAATCTGCCTGGTTTCTACTTTAAACTCTATTTCTAAAGGCATTTCTCAAAAAACAAAACAAAACAAAACAAAAAACAAAAAACACCTCCTTTTATTTTTAGTGTTGGGTAAATTGAATTTCCTCTTTGACTCACAGTGTTTTGAATTTCAGAAATATCACTTTTGAAAAATAAAAACAGAATTGCAAGAATCCCTAGAGGTTATTATAAAAGATGTCACGTGCATTTATATATTAAGGCCTTTGTATTGTTCAGGATGGGTGTATAAATGGTGGTTAGTTTTAGACATTGTAAGCTTAAATGCACGTTAATAATTTGCAGGTAATTTTTAAATAAATAGAAACAACATGCAAACTTTAAGGTAAACAAGAAAAAACTTTAAGGGGGAAAAACAGAAACAATCTAAAAATAAATTGAAAAAAATCATTTGTAATATCTCTGCAAATACAAACCATAAAGTGAGATGCTAGAAAAAAAAATCGCCAACTCTCAGTAAGCGCAGATGATGTGG